TGAGTATCTTCACACCGTGTTGACCTACTTTATTATTGTGGTTGCTGTTTGTTTGTTTTTTTGTTCCCTTAATTGGCCTGGTGGACTCCACAAAGAAATCTTCCAGCGAGAGCGAGGCTCCTTTTCAGCTCCATTGTCTTTATACTTACTGGCACCTCCACCTGTCCAAATAACTCCATTCAATTCAAGTTGCCCATGTTATAATAACGATATAAAATGTTGTTGTTGCTGTTGTTGTTGTGGTGGTTGTTGTCTCACCAGCAGAAGTTTGTCGCGGACGTGACGGGTCGTCGTAGTGGACGTTCCCCGGTGCTGAAGCACACACACACATTGTCTCAAGGTCACTGCTGCTGCCTTTGTGTGGGTGGTTGGCGGGTGCTCTGTTGTGGTTGGCTCTTTCTTACCTATCAAACATCTGTCATCCTTATCTCTCCTCCTTCTTACCTATCAAACATCTATCGTCCTTATCTCTCCTCCGTCTTACCTTTCAAACATCTGTCGTCCTTATCTCTCCTCCTTCTTACCTATCAAACATCTGTCATCCTTATCTCTCCTCCTTCTTACCTATTAAACATCAGTCATCCTTATCTCTCCTCCTTCTTACCTATCAAACATCTGTCATCCTTATCTCTCCTCCTTCTTACCTATCAAACATCTATCGTCCTTATCTCTCCTCCGTCTTACCTTTCAAACATCTGTCGTCCTTATCTCTCCTCCTTCTTTGCTATCAAACTTCTGTCATCCTTATCTCTCCTCCTTCTTTCCTATCAAACATCTATCGGCCTAATATCTCCTCCTTCTTTCCTATCAAACATCTATCGGCCTGATCTCTCCTCCTTCTTTCGTATTAAACATCTATCGGCCTGATCTCTCTTTCTTTTTTGTGTTTATTACTCTTGTCCTCTAATCGTCGGCACTTATATGACCTTATTGTGTTGCAAGTGATGTCAAACTCTTCTTAAAACTTAATATCTCTCCCCTCTTTCTTTTCTTTGTATGTTACTTTGTAGAAACACCAGTAATCTTCAGCACTTGTGTGATTTCCTTGTGTTGCAAGTGCCGTAAATCTCTTACACCATAACTGTAATAAAATCACTCGCTGTTCCTGGTTCACACGCCCCCCAACTCTCCTCACAGGCTCAGAAACCTTGTCTTATATTGTCTTCCTAGTTCACCCCCTCTCCCCCCCCCCCTTCTCTTCCCTGCACTGAGAGTCCAGCTGTCAGCACCACCCTGGTGTTTCTACACGTGCACAGCTCCTGTATTCTCCACAGGTTTCTCACACGTACTCACCCCACAACTCAACATTTTTCAGGACAGTTGCGGGCGCCGTAAAACCTTACTAAAGCAAACTTTTGTTTTTCCTGTTGTGAACGTTAGAGCCAGATGTCCCCCGACATGGTAGTAAATAGATTTCTCTCACTTGTCACTCTTCCATCCTCTCATTTTGATTCCTCTTATTATTTTCCCCGTCACATTTCAGCTGTTTGTTCACTCTGTGTGATGTCATCACCGCTGTGTGATCACCCTGTTGCAGGTCACCAGTACTAGTGGTCACTGTGTGGTCACCTGTACTAGCGGTCATTGTCCCCTCACACCCTGTATTTTTAACATGTCCACGGTGCCCAGGGGTCAGTCTTTTGCGCGACAAGTCAGCCTCAAATCCTGCTCCTTGCACTCACTCCCTACAAAAGTTGATATAGTGTGTACCTTCACTCCGTGCAGAACTCTTAACATAGATAACAGTTTTGATGGGAATGAAATGGAAAGATAAGAATGAAGATTTCAGTGTGTGCGGCTGTGTGTGTTCATGTGCCTGCACAAGTCTTATTCCCCCCACCCTCTCACCCCCACCTCACCTCCCACCTCAGGCAATGAGCAGCCAAAGACAATATTCCACCATGAGTGAGCGTGGGCCGGCCCGCCACACTGTGGGCTCCCCACCACCGCCCGCCACCTCTGCCCACCGCCTGCCCACCACCACTACCAGCGTATGTGTGCAACCCGTTGCCATGGCAACACAGCGGCTACTGCATGCTATACTTGGTGTTGTGTCCTTCTTTCTAGTTGCTAGATTCTATAACTCTGTCACCAGCACCCCCACCCCCCTCCCCCTCATTGCTAGTTGCTAGATTCTATAACTCTGTCACCAGCACCCCCACCACCCTCCCCCTCATTGCCTGTTGCTAGATTCTG